AGAGCAGCTCCTGGATGGTCAGACGGAAGTTTCCCTAACACTGCACAGGCTCTTCTGTGCTGTTCAGAGCCCAATGAACCAAAGGGGAGCTATAGCCATCCTATTATCTTTAACTGGTATAAAGTAATATTGTCCTTGTGTTATTGAATTTTCAGCGTCCAAATGATGATGGAAATTTTCCAACCAGATGTGCTTTCTCCAGGATCCTTGCAGATGTTTCTAATTAATGTGACTGTGCCTGAACAATTTTGTCTCGATAACATGGCAATACTCCTGGTACTCAGGCGTGTAAGAGTTTAGACTTGACTTGTTCAAACTTGTATTCATCTTATTCCAGTAATATTAACACAAATCCTGTAGCTTGTCTAGCAATGGAAATAGAACACAAATAACAAACAGTTTGTGTTTTTAAAGAGACTTACATATCCAACTATGGAAAAACAATCAATGACCATTTAGGTGCTTCTGACTGAACAAGATGTCTTTAAATTAAGTCTCACATCTCATATGAGACTTGGAAACAAGAACACCCTGACTTCCTAATTGAGCCACTGAAGAGGAAAGAAAAAGTTTGAGTTGTTTGGCCAGGTGACATGTATGCTTCCACCAGGGGTCTTCAGCAGGGGAGCATTTTTCCTTTAGGCATCTGTCACAGGGAACAACTGCCTTTAGGGGAGCAGAAAGACTAGGGAGAAAACTAAAATACTCACTTGGTGACCCTGAAATTAAGCAGAAGTTGGTGATAATTTTCTTCATTCAAAGAACTCACTAGTTTTAGAATGAATTGGTGGTGCAAGAGTTGGAGCACAGTCACCCAGCTGGAGGTACTGAGAGTAGAATTGGAGCAGCTGGTGTTAGACCAGTGTCATCTGTGTCACTGTAAACCATAATCAGATCTAATTGTACACAAGCACTGAAAAGACACTCTCATTCCTCTTTCTTCCTATCCACACTGCTCCAAATTCATGCTTGCATAAATTGTAGGGACTGCTCAGCCCCAGTTGATTTAATTCAGCATACTGATCAGACGTATCAAGAAGGGTCAAAATTTGGCACAGAGCTAGACATTCCCATGACAAAGGCTGAAATGATACTCTGCTTTCATCCTGATGTAATAAGACCTGCTTCTCAGTGCAAGTAAGTCTAGAATGGCAACAATTGTGTTGTTGATCTTTGCTTCTTATGTCAAGGGCAGGCGTGATGTTATCTGCCTTTTTAGAAAGACCTGAATAAGCTATATGTATTAGCACTAGGAATTAAAAGCCTCTTGAATCTGCTTACCTGAGCCACAAAAGGGAAGCTGCCAAGTTGCTCTCATAATTATCAAAACGTTAAATCTTGTATGGAAATAAGAGCCAAAGTGATTAAGAATTCATTTGCAAAGGAAGCAAAGATTACAAACTTGTTTGTTTTCTCACACCTGTTCTCCACTTCAGCAGTACAATAAAGCAAGGCATAGTTAATGCACTTTTCCCTAAAATTATTAATGTACTCAGGGGAATATGATCAGCTGAGGCTTTGGAGATCACACCGCCATTTGCCCAATTATACCTAATGACAACACATCGTTCCAGCAAAATGTGCCTATTCTTTGGTAGGTTACATTTCCTCTCGGCCTTTTGCTTATTGATCCAGTAGTACATCATGCAGAACAAACTTCTTTGTTGGCAAGTCGTGTTTATGAGAACAGAAAAATCTTTTATGTTACATTTTTAACATCTGACCAAGTCAGTGAGAGGAAAAGCTTCCTGTATGGAGCATGACAAATTTTTGTGATTTTTGTAAAACAAAGCAATAAGTCAAATGTCTGTATGTTTTGGGCTATACAGATAATTCATGTTTTGTGTTCAGTATTTCTTTCTGCTTTGATGTCATAAAGCATCTTAAACTATGCATTACATGGCATTTAGAGTAAATGATCACTTTAATCTTTTACTCCAAGCAGCAAGGCATATTAACTTTTTTTTTGGGGGGGGGGGGTTTGGGTTTTTTTGGGGGTTTGTTGGTTTTGTTTGTTTGTTTGGGCTTTTTGTTTGTTTGTTGTTGGTTTTGGGGGGTTTTTTTTGGAAGTGGAAGGGCTCGAAGAAAGCTTGAAGAAATGTTGTATCCCTGACTAAAACACTTAAAACATTTTTGTGTCTCCTGTGAGTGTTCATGACAAGTACAAGCTGATGAGTAAGGGCAGGGTTGGATTCTGAATGCTCTTACAAATTGTCTCTCTTGTTACTTTCTTAATAGTTGTAAACTGCAACAAAAGAAATTGTTTTTTCAAATGCAGAACCATATCAAGGTAGTTCACTACCATCATTCAGCACTTTCTAGTTGGATTACTTCTTCTGGACCACTTCTGTGTTCTTCAGACCCTTTGGAGTTTAGTTATTAAAATTTTCAGCCTCATCATTATTGCTCTCCTTCCTTCCAGCATTTTTCCTGCAGTTCTCTCTTGTATGCTGGCGTCGTTCTTGTAAGAACCTCCAGTTTTGTTCTCACAAACGTTCCCACCAGTATTATGAGCTGGGAGAATATACATGGGCTTTGTATTCCCCTTGTGAAGCCTGAAAGCACTGAGTCTGAGAAATGAAGCTGGCCACTGCTTGAATCCATTTTGTCTCCCTCACAGCCTTCATTTTCTGAATGCATCCTCAGAAAGATGGCAAGCCTGGCAGTTTTTACTTAGAGGACAATATGAAAACATGTTTTTTCTCTCCCAGTGTATGAGAACTGGGAGTTTATCATTCAGTGTCACAGAGAAACTTATTATGCCACCAAAGCATTCCTCCCAAGCTAAGTATTGATCCTTTGTTCTTAAGTAAACCCTGCAGTTAATCATAATTCTGAGACATCTCATTCCAGTGACTGGATCAATAATATCTTTGATGGTGTCCTGCAGTGTTTTCCTGTCATTCCTCGGGACCTCTCTGTCACCTACTGTTCTTCCAGATCTCAGTGCAATAACCAGCCCGATGCCAGCCCCGTCCCAGCTCCGCTCGCCTGGCTGGGGCGCTGCTGCCCCCTGCCGGACGGACCTGCCATCGCGGGGTGCGGGGCTCCGCCCGCCGTGTCCCCCGCTGCCCCGTGTGTGTCCCCCGTGTCCCCCGTGTGTGTCCCCCGTTGCCCGTGTCCCCCGTGTCCCCCGCGTCCCCCGCTGCCCCGTGTGTGTCCCCCGTGTGTGTCCCCCGTGTCCCCCGCGTCCCCCGCTGCCCCGTGTGTGTCCCCCGCTGCCCCGTGTGTGTCCCCCGTGTCCCCCGCGGCCCCCGTGTCCCCTGCTGCCCCGTGTCTCCTTGTGTCTCCCCATGCCCCCCGCTGCCCTGTGCTCAGCCTACATGAGTGCAGCCGACACGCGTGTGACATGTCTGCCCTCACGTCTGACTGCTGGGCACCCCCTGGGGTTACACACTGCAAGGTGTGGGTGCCCACAGGCAGCGCAGCGTTCCACTCAGTGCCGTGGGTGCCCAAGGGCGGCTGTGCGGTGCACGGGCCGCTGAAGTGGGACCCAGCGAGCCCAGGTGCTGCGAGGTGCTGACAGCGCTGGGTAGAAGGAGATTGCACACAGTCGGTTTACACTCACACTGTGCAGTACCTGTGCCTTACCAAGGGGAAAAGCTGTCCAGGCTTTCATTCCAGTGCTCTGCACAGCACCGGCATCTACGGCAATCCAGTCACACAACAAGGACACATGCTGGTGTATGCAGAGAAATTGTGCAGATCAGCTGTGGGGCCTTGGTGTCCCTTGCTGACGCTGAGCATTATGCTGGGCTGGACCTGTGCCCTCTGAGCATCGGGTGCCCTGTACCTGGGCAGTTGAGAAAGGTGTTTTTAATACAGGTGTTTTTAATACAGGTGTTTTAATACTCCATCTGCAGTGGGGGTTAATCACATTTATCTAGCTCAAGAGCAATGATATGAGGCTGACTTTCTTGGAAATGCCACATGAAAAAGACTAAATTTTTATTAATATTTGCATTAATCGCTTTTCTTTTACTAATTTCTTTGGCTGCATTGGAGCAGTTACAAGAGACAGAATATCATGCAAATGGAAGGGTACTTTTCATTATATTATTGCATTACACCATTATCTAGAGAGTAAAGTGCATCCTTCAAAGTTATAATGAGCCATAATTTCATTGAAGGCTCTCTAGGATTTCTGGACCGTGAGAGCAAAGCTACAGTAATTTAGTCACAGGGACCAGAAAATTAGATGACAGCCCCTTTAATACTCAGCTGGGAATATGCTATTGATCTGAGATACCTCAGGCTGGAGTGTCTGCTGTGGTGGAAATGCATGGATTTTACCTTTTAAGGACATTTCAAGCCATGGTAACTATTCAGAGCCAACCCTGGCATGACTGTCCTTTCCTGCTCCTTCGACACAGAGGTCAGAGCCAAGGGTGTTTGGCAGGGAGAGGTGGGTTTTCCTAGCTCTTTGGAAGGCTGTGCTTTAGTCAGTGCTGAGGGGGCCGTGACTCACCTGCGCGGGGGTCACACCTGGGGGGGGATGCCGGGGTCTCAAGGCGAGGAGCCACCCAAGGGAGCTCAGCCATGGCTGCGCCCGAAGGGGCCGGGCCCAGAGGGAAGGGGCTGCGGCAGACGGAAGAGGTGAGTAGAGAAAAACTGTCTGGAGTGCGAGTCTGCCGCCACCGCAGCACAGAGACCGAGAGCCGCCCCGGCGCCCGCCGCGGCCGGGAGCGGAGCGGGCCGGGCCGAGACCCCGCGGAACGGGAACGGGCCGGGCCGGGACCCCGCGGAACGGGAACGGGCCGGGCCGGGCCGGGCCGGGACCCCGCGGAACGAGAACGGGCTGGGCAGAGACCCCGCGGAACGGGAACGGGACGGACCAAGATCAGCGGCAGCGGGACCGGGAACTGACATGACTCCGCCCAGCCCAGACGTGACCGCGGCGGCATTGCTGGGGCGGGGCCTCACCGCGCATGCGCCGTGGGGAGGGCGTGCCCTACCGCAGGGCCCGCCCGCGCAGGTGACGCCACCGCGCGCGCCCGCCCCACCTCTCGCGCGACGTCACGCGGCCGGGCCGGGCGGTGGCGGCGCGCGGGGATGGAGCGGCCGCCGCTCGGCCGGTGAGTGACCGACGGACCGCGGGATCGGGAACGGAGAGGGAACGGGATCGGGAACGGGGCGGGAGAACACCCAGAACCGAGGGACGGGGCGAGGGGACCCCGCCCGACCGGCCCCGCGTGCGCCCATCGCGAGCGCCTCATCCACCCCCAGACCCGCCGCTCGGCCGGGCTGTCTCTCGCCGTCCCCGCTCTGCGGCCGGTTTGGGACTCTCTGTCCAGGTCGCGGCCCCGCCGGCCCGCTCGCCCCGTTCCGGGCCGTCGTCCGGGACGCAGGGCCCGGGCTTCGCGCGGAGATGTCCGGCCCGGCGGTGGCGAGCGGCGCCCTCGGCCCCTGCCGTGGCCCCCGCGATCGCCCCGATCCCCGCGGCCCCCACAGCCCCCCGGGCCTCCCGGGGGCGGCCCCACGCACGTGTGGCCTGTGCCGGAGGTTCGCGAGGCACCGCCTCGGCCCTCGCTCTGGTTTGGGGCGGGCTGAGGCGTGTGTTCGCTTCACTGATTCCTGCTCGCCTTGGCTGTCTTTGATGAGATGGTTAAGACACGAATTATTTCATGGCGGACTCAGAATTTGCCGGCTTAAAAGCAGATTGTCAGTGATAGGCCTTTAAAGTAAAGAGCTTAAGGGGTAAAGCAGCAGCTTCGAAGCTTTATGAGTGCCAAAATTCACGACACTTGGAGCTGACGCTGTGTTTGTGACTTGTGTGCAGCTGCTGTCACTGGAGACACGGAAGTACCTGGTGTGCATTAGTGACAAATGCGGTGGCCAGCAAAACTCCCATGGTGGGTGGAGGCATCGCTTTCACTAAAAAAATCTATCAATAGGGAAACTTAATGAGGCTTCTTGGTGGGTAGGAGGTGTAAAGGTCTGAACTGAAGGTACAAAGATCTGAGTTGAAGGCTAGGGGAAGGGGAGACAGAAGAGGGTAATGGAACTCCCACTGCATCAGTAAACAGTGTCCATCATCCACAAACCTTAAAATCAGGTGTTTCTGCAGGTTGGAAACCTTTAGTAACAGCACACTAAAGGTGTGCCTTGATCTGAGCCAGTGCCACTGGGTTCTCCTCAGCCCAGGGAGTAAGTGCTGCTGTCCCTGTTGCTCACCGCTGACTCTGTTTTACTCAAGATTAACGTGTGGCAGGTGACTCCATTTTTGGTCATGATCCTTTTCTTAGGGTAAATTCTTGGTCCATCTGGAAGTGTCTAGAGGCAAGGAAGGCCCGGTGAGTACTCACTGGAAGGGCTGTTTTTGTCTTGGTCCTGGGAGAGCTCTTCCCTCTCTTGTCCGGGGACAGTGGCGCTCCCCAGCTTGCAGGGCTTGCGCTGCTCAGCAGCTCTGCAGCCACATAGGGTTCTGGCACCGAATGAACAAGTTTGTTGGAGCTTTGTATACACTGTGTCCAGTTCTTTTGCCTGATAAGCCCACCCAGCTGATCTGGAAGCCATCCAAAGTATGGAAGCAAATTGAAGATGGAGAAAGATCTACTTTGTGTGGAATTTGCTTTAGAAAGAAATTGGAACTTCAGGTTTCCATGAAATCTGGGGTTTCCCTCCTCCATTTACCACATAAAATTTACCACATTTACCACATTGCTGAGTTTGTTTTTCCAAGCAGTACTGTGTCATAGTTTGAGCTGTCTCGCATCTTATTTAATCACAGCTGAAGTTCCTGTAATTAAAACCTATGTCTAATTCAGATACAAAGTGGAAGTCATTGGAAGTCTTCAGATTTTGTTTCCCTGTGTTTAGAGCGGTGCATTCTGCAGGAAATGGGTTGTATCTAGTGAGTCAGCTCCTCCACTGCTTGGGTGAATGGCCTGTGCCTGACTGTGAGCTAGCAACTGTGGCTTCTCTGGAGTCGGGCAAACCTTGTGTTAGTGTTTTCTCTGGTCTTTCTGAGAATTGTTTTGAACCATTCAAAAAGACTTGGTGTGATAATATCTTGGGCTTGGTTTCTAGGAATTTTTGCTTAGAGCTCTGGAGGAGGAGTCTTCCCTTTCCACTGGCTTTCCCAGCACGTTTACTGGTGCGGCGTGTTCTCATCAGGTGGTTCTGTAGCTGTCTGTCTGCCAGTGAGAGCTGGGTTTTGGCACCTGAATTCACCAAGTGCAAGGTGTTTCTCAGGTGAGCTGGCTGGTTGGCTGCCTCTTGATAGACCTGGAGTCTCCTCACCCCTGAAATAGAGGGAGTGGGTTTTGCTGTCCCCTAAGGCCTGATGAAGGCTGATTGCTGTAGCACACTGAATGCTGTTTGGCACAGAGGTTGTGCACTCTCCATGGGGGATGGAGCTCCTGTGGACTTGAGCTCTCTGGGGCCAGGAACAGGATGGTCTCTCAACAGCAAGACTTGTAAAAATGGTGTGTAGGCAATGAACCCTGGGTGGCCTGGGTGACATCAAGAAGTCCCTTCCAAGGTCAGCAAATCTGTGAACTCGGCACAATGTTTCCTAGAGGATAAACTGACATCCCTAGAAAGAGTGAAGATGGCTGAATGAAAAGGAACATGAAGGTGGCAGTCTAGACATGCATTGTCTGCACTTCTAGAAACTCAGTATTCTGCTGTGATTAAATATTGAAAATACTTAACTCCCCTAAGCAGTTGAGACCCTGGATATTGTTACAGGACAATGATAGCTGACCAAGCTGATTGTTTGGTCTTGAATTTAAGCTCCAAATTCTCAAAATTGTTCTTCCAGCCAAGCTGTTAAGGAAAAAAGAAAGAAGACAATTAATTGTGTAGAGTTAAATATATTTTTGCAAAATGTAATGTCTTCGTACTTTCAGAAACATTTAATGGTAATGCAGATCTAGTTGACCCTTTTTATTTATAAACTCATGTACCAAAAATACAAAACACTTCTACCAAAATAAGATTGAGAACTTTGATTTGGAAGCTAGATCTGACACACCATGTGAAATGCAAACACAGAACAGGAGGTCTCTGCCCCAAAAACGTTTACGTTTTATTAACTTAAATCCAGACCTGAAAAATTCAGAAGTTTGCCAACACTCCGGAACATTTATGCCATGCAGGTACCCCCCCCAAGTGTGTACTTTATGTGCATGCTGTGTTGGGGCTTCCATCACACTCTGTGTTGGTCCCCGTTTTGGACAGTGGCTTAATTCTTTAGTCTGACACTGGTCACACAGGCACTCCTGTGGCAAAATACTCAGTGAACATCAACGCATTTGGTGAGCTGGGAAGGTTTGTCTGACTCAGGGCAATCTGTGATATGATCAAACTTCATTTGAATGCTTAGAGGATTTCCCTCCTTGAGATAATTTATTAGGTTAAAATAGTCAGAGTATGAGGTAACTTCAGAGGCTGCTTCTGATTTTAAATACATCAAAGCTAGCAGAAACCCAGTTTTTCAAATGAGTTAATTCTTTTCTCTGAAGGGGACTCTGAATATGTGTGCTGTTTTATTGTTTATCAGGTATTAATGGCGTTTCTTATTATGCTTGTTAATTTTGGCAGGTCTTTCTCCTCTACAAAGAAGCTTTGTTGCCAAGACTTACTCTGAAAATGACCTAGAGTACCTACTGCAGATGCCTGCAAGTGTAGAAGCTGATAAATCATATCTTCTTCCCTCCCCTGACTTTCCTGTTTCCTCTGGAATTTATACGTCTAAATTTTTTTAAAGTTAAACGTCTGTTGATGGCATTTGAATTACAACTGTGAGCATACTTATGCAAAGAGACAAGCTATCCTGAGCACTTTTGAGGTATGTATGCCTTCTGTGACTTAAAACACATGGAAGGGGAAGCCATCTGATTAGGGCAAAGAGAGTTCTAGGTGTACATATTCTAGATTTAGGCTGATGTGCACTGTTTTGCATGGTTTTAGCAGCAGAATATACATATACATAGTAAGGCTGCAGGAGCACCAGCTGGCATTTTATGGAGGGTGACCTTGGTTGAACCTACTGTGGGAGTACTCAAAAGATTGTATTTAGAAAAGCTGTATCCACTGCTACCCATTCAGTTCCTAAATACCACCATGGTCTGCAGAAATTTTCTTCTTCAAAGTGTGTGTGTCGTTGAAATGTGCCTGGGAGGCCATGGTGGTTGCTCTATTTGCTAAGGTAAAGCACTCACATGAAGTTACAGAGTATTTGCCCTGAATTTGGAAGCATCTGGCATGAAGGTTAGGAAAGAAGGATATTTTGCTTGCCTACCTGTGCACAGGTGCTGGCACAGTGGTCTCTGCTCCCAGAAAGAGGCAGTCTCATTAGACAATATGCCTGTGATGTACAAGTTACAAGCAGAGCTGGGTGGGATTTGCCTTGTTGCTGTGCACATTTGTCCCACTCAGGTAACAAGAGATGGACAGCCTTGGCTGTTTCCGCAGCATGGAAAGTAACCAGTATGCACGGTTTTATTTTCCTTTTCGTAAAGCCTCCTTTGGAGGCTTTTAGCTGTCTATACATATTCTAAACCTGGAATGAGGAAGCTGGCTAACCGCCTCTGTATGGGCTTAGAAGAGGCTGGTGTGCACTGATAACATCTTTTCCTTCTGTAAACTACTTGGACTCCTTATCCCTTCTGTGATGTAGATGCCAGCGTTCCAGAGCAGTGGCACTTTTGTCAGTTAATGGTGGGTTAGAGTGAAAGGCAGCCAAACACACACCTCTCTGGCTTCCAGAAGAGACATTCATTAGTGGGTTTAGTTTAAAAAGGAAAACTAGTTGTGCTGAAAGTAGCTACCTGACTGAATCATTCATCATGCACAGTTGCCGTACAGGATATATTTAGCAGACAACATGCCTGCTTTTGTTGATAAGCTCCAGTGATTCAGGCTGAGATGATGCTGGAGGGACACAAATCTGACCTACCTCCCTGTCTGGCTTAAAACAGCCTGATGGTGTTCCTGTAACAGGAAGGCAGAATGGGCTGTGTTGCAGTGCAAGTCTGAACTGTTATGGGCAGCGAAGCACAGTGGTTGGGAAGGAGATCCCTTACATGTGCTGAAGGAACTCATTCACCTGCAAGCAGAGCGGGGCCAGGGATTGGCATCTTGGTGAGATTCTCTGTTATGACTGGACAGAAGTTGGTGTAGCACACTTAAAATGTGTTTCTCAGTCTGCCTGGACAGTGTTATTTGGCTGTGGCAGTGTGCAAAAGCAGCATTGGGCAGAAAGGAGAGCATTGTTTCCTGTAAGCTGCTTTCATAGAAGCTGTAGGAACACACTAGGAGTGGTTTGCTGAGCTGCCCATTGCCACCTTATTGGTGCTTTATGCAGTGTACCAGGGATGTGGATTCTGCAACCCAACTTGGTGCATTTTTTTTGGTGGTATATAAATTGTGATCTCTGTGATCCTATCAATTAATGGTGCACATTTCCCAAAAAAGCTGCCATTCTGTGAAAATAGAACAAGTCCTGCAGTATCTTTGAATACCTGTAAGAATACCTAGACTGAATGTCTCCATGAATGTATATTCCTAAACAGAGTATTAGTCTTTATTTCTTTAACTGTAAGATAATGTTGACCTACCTTTGTAAAACATTAAGTTTCATGAAAAACATAAGTGCAGTTTAATTATTCAAACTCATTTAACTAAAAGTGAATTACTAAAATGCTGGATGACAAGGAGATTGAGTATAAGATAAAGTTTTCTTTTGATGTAAAGAAGTGGTCTGAAAGGTGAAATTGTGTACATTAGAGAAAGTTGCATTAAAACTGTTCTACAGGTTGTCTAAAAAGTTCAAAGAACATTAGAGGACACTGCAGTGTTGAGATGAATGGTACTGCTGTTCATTCAGCTGGTGGGATGGGTTATGACAGGAAGTTTGCAGATACCTACTTACAGTTTTTTCAGGCATAAATTTGGCGAATTTCAGTATATTTTGGATTTGTGTTAGCTGATGGTGTCCTTAACAAATTCCATAGTGGCCTTTGATACTGAAGCTGTTGACTATTATTTTCCTGGAAGCCAGTTGCCATGGTGATTATCCTGAAGGCAAATAAATGTGTTTTTTGTGGTTCCCAGCTTTACTAGTTTTGAGCAAAAGGACTGTGGCCTTTTCTGGGATCACTGGAAGTGCTGCACCCATAGCATTCCATGTTTGTAAATTCACTGCCCGCTGAACAAGCATTTCATGCTTTAGTGGGTCACAGTCATAAGGGGTAGTGTGACTTGTCTGTGAGAAGCAGTGAGTGTCCTTGCTGTGATCCTGAGGTTGAATAGCAGTTAAAATGGGAGAAATGAGCACAGAGCGACTTTGGGTCAGAATCTGCTAAGACTGAACTTAGCTCATTCTCGCCAGTAATGGCAGACTGACTAGTAAGGCAAAATCTCTATTGGTGAAAGCCAGTCCCACCTAGGTGCATGGGGCTGCGGTCCTTCCCTGTGGTGGCTTTCAGCTGGGGTAGCCTCTAGCTCTGGTTGCTACTGATTTATATTAAATGCTTTGTGGAGGAAGATATTCTGCATATGTGAGCCTTTGCATAACAGAAGAACTTGGCTATGCATTGGGTACCTGTGAGAAGTTTTACTGCCTGGGCTGCAGAGCATCCTGTGGTAAGAGGAGCAGAGAGGGGGGCTGAATCGGTGGCTGCTTGCTGCTCTGCAGAGCAGTTCCTGTGCTGGTCATACTTTTGCTGTGGGAGTTAGTTCTCAGCTGGTTTGTTGTGCTGAAAGTTTTGGTTCTGGTTTACTGAAGTCCTTTAAATGCTTCTGGTGTAATTCCAGTCTGTGGGAGAAGTACAGGGTCCAGTACTGTACAATCTGTTTATTAATAATATATTAATAGGGCCAGGTGAAGAATTTTGCAGGTGATGCAAGATGGGGAGTTGATAGACCTGATGATAGTACTGCCGTTCAGAGGCACCTGGATAGGCTTGAGGAATAGGCAGGCATGAACCTCATGAGGTTCAATGAAGGGAAAGAGGAGGCTCTGCACCTGGGGAGGACCCACCTGGTATAGCTGGTGTTCTGTAACCACCCATGTACTGAAATTCCTATCATGTACCTGTACTGGGAGCCTGACCAGCTGCAAAGCTGCTCTGCAGCTAGCAAACGGGTGTTCTGGCAGAAGCCCGAGTTGCACAGCAACTCTGTAAGGAGCCATTAACTTGTGTCTTGCTTTTGGCTCTGATTATAAGCCCACACCTTCTCAGTGGTAGCTGAAATTCAGCCTTATTTCAAATAAGATTGCTTTTTTATGCTGCTTTGAGTGAAGATTTGCGGATTTTTTAATGTGGACTCTACCGTGAATGTGGGAAGAAACATGATTTTGGCTGAGGTTTTAAATGCATGACTACTTGTTTCCCATTGGCAACAAAGTAGTCAAGCCCAATTGCTTTATACCGGATTATTGCCTCTGTGCAGCTGGATGTGGAGGTGGATATTAAAGAGCAGCATATTTGTGAGTGGCTGCTTTGCTGTGCTGGGTTTGTGCAGTTTGTGCAGTTTGTGTGTGTGTGTGTCTTTAAAATGCATGATAAGATCTTAGAGAAGAAAAGAACCGTAGATACGCACCTGTATTTTTATTGCAAAAGTCCAAAAAGTGAGCAAAGCAGGGAATTCCCAAGTCTGTGTGGTAGCAGTTGATGGATGGCTGACATGGGTCCTGTTCCAAAAGGTGCTGCTCTGAGGGGATAGGGAGTTGTGGCTGTGCTGGTTCCCTGGCCCCTGAAAAGAGGCCTGGCAGCGTGTCTGTGTGCTGCAGGGCAGGTGCCCATGGTTCTGCTCACACGGTGTCTGTGAGGTACACAGGCCAGGCTGATGCTGTTCCTACTCGTTAGGGTACGTAGGAATGCAATTATATTGTTCCTTGTCGCAAGCTCTGCTTGAGCCTACCTGGGACTGGGAGAAGTGGCTGTAATGAGTCAAGTCAAAAGCACCTTATGGATGTCTCCTGTTTCTGTTGACAGCTGATAGCAGGTTTTTAACATTGAGAACAGGTAAGAAGGTGTGGGTGGCGGTAGTCTTTTACTGATAGGTCCTCCCAGCTTCATGCAAGCTGACTGAAGGACTTCAGTGTTTGGGTAACCTGAACATCTTGTTTGTAGTCCTGCAGGGAGGAATGTGCTAATGCTTGATTAGAAAAGGCTCCGTAAACAAACTGGCCCCAGATTAAGGCCACTACTGTTATACTAATACAATTTTTTTGAAGAGTCACACTTAAGTAAAAGCTCCCTAGACTCGCAGTCTTGAAAAAGGATCAGGAAGGAGAGTTTTCTTCTGAAGAGCAGGATGAAGCTGTCAGTGGTTGAGCAGCATCAACGGTCAGAATAGCGATGACTATTGACTTCTGGTGAGAATTTGTCTTGCCAGATTTGTGTCACATTTTAAACAATACTGGTAGAAAGAGCTGGTTTTGAGTCATCAGGGGGACTATTTTACCACTATGTGTGAGGTTAGTTCTACTTCTTTCACGAGTCATTGTAAATATGATACTTTCAAAGGGCTAAAAGCACATGTTAAAATCACACATAGTGTGGGGTGTGGGTTGATGGTAGATATCTTTCTTTACAAGCCTGCTAATTTAACTTGTTTTAACCTCCTTACAACTGCAAGCCTGGAATAAACCTTTCTTTTAGAACTAGAGTTGCTAAATCTTGCCAGCATCTCTGCTGGCATTATCACAGATAATTCTGCTAGGAGTTAAAATGAGAGGCCATCTCTTCTTTTCTTTGTATCGCTAGCATGGTTAGACGTCTCTCTTTAATGCCAGGAATAGGTGTGGTATAACCTTTTGTCTTCCCTTGGAAATGAAAT